TATCAGTAAAAACGAGTTTTCTTAACACAGGAAAGAAAAGAAAAAAACAAAAGCGATGCATAACTTTTTGACTATAGGTATGATGAGTCGAATGAGATAAAATATTTGACTCTATCGCTTACGTGGAAAAACTAGATAGGTTTACAAAATCAACCTATACCTAGTGGATTGGACGCGATTCGAAGCGTCACCACCAATAGAGTTGTGGGTCTTGAGTCGATTTAACAACTTTTTTATAATCAGTTTTTTATGGTGAATGTGGAAAAATTATTTTCAGAAGCTGAAAAAAGAAACAAAGTGAAAAATGTTGTACATTTTAAAAAAGATGTGTTTTTCTCGAAGAACGACACCCTTCGAGTATTCCGTATTTTTCGACCCGAAGGAAGCATTTGCTGAGACTAAAAAGTAGATCTTCGTGATCAGCAGACCACGCTCTATCAAATGATGTAAAAAAAAAATGCGAAAAAAATAGTTTTACTTGAATTTTGCTTTGCCGGCACCTTACTATTGAAAAAATGTTCATATGTTAAAACTAAATTTTGAGCCAAAAATTTAATTAATTCCATGTAAGACTCTAGATTGAACTCATTAATGAGAACAACAATCCATTTAAATGTCTTCTGAGAGATAATATAATTATTGACGTACTTTCAACAAGGAATCTTTGCTTCTCAAATGGATCAGTCTATTGATTACACAACGACTATAGATATATAAACCTAAAAGTCGAAAGAACTAGCTAAAAAACGATAAACAAAGAAAAGTCAGCAAAAAATACTCGAGTTTTTTCATTAACAATAAAAGAAGAGAGAGAAAGAGCGATTATATCCGAAAACATTAGGTGGTGGATATCTACATGCATTCAAGTATAACAACTGAAGGAAAGAAAATATAGACTTAATTTGCATAAATATCGAAGTCGACTAGTATTTATTCTTTCCTTGTCGGCTTTCTTCTATATTATTGCTTAGTTCTTTTTTTCTTTTTCTTTATCATGATTGATTCATTCTTTTATCGTCCTATTTTACCCATTTAGTGAACTATATGATGAGTCTACTTCTGTTTATATAGTCTAGCAATGATCAATGCATACAGTTATTTCTCTAAGCATTCTTGCGTATGATCATAAAACAACACATTCCAAATAATATTTTCTATTACATAATAGTAACTGAGTTATTCATATACAAACACCGAAGTACATCTATTCACAACACAAAATCGAGTATCAACATTTCTAAAGTTGATAGTGAGCACCAATAGAATAAAACTATTTTTGAAAAAAAGATGAAATTTATTTTCTAAAATTTTTCTCTATCATAGCAAATCATTGTTTCATAAAAGAAATATAGTTTTCGTTCATATGAAAGTTCATCACTAGAATACTATTCGATATTAATTAAAGACGAACAAGTAGATTGTATTGTAATTGAACTAATAATATAGTTTGAAGATTTGAATCAAGATTTGTAATTATATTTGTTATTTCATCACATTTTTGCTCTTTGATATCAAGCAAGAAGACCAACAAAAGATGTTGGAACTTGAACAAGATATGGATGAGTTATACTTTCTAATAATTGAATCTGAATTTCAAATGATTGTGATGTTGACATAGGTTGTCGAATATAGATAATTATTGAAAGTGTTGATCCATCATAAGTATAACCATTTGTTGTTCCATCTTGACCATGAATTAATTCATTGAATGGTTCAAAAGGTATTGTAACATTATTGAGAAGAACATTATTCGTAGAAAAAATACCTCGAAGTTGGATTTCATATGTACGTGATGTTGGAAAACTTGAAAAGGAACTTGTTGCTGCAGATACACCTGTACAAAAGAAAAAAAACAATGCAAATTTGTTTTTTTACTTGTGTGAAATAAACTTACTGAATTGTAATGTATTGTCTGAAACAGTATATTCAAAATAAGTGATAGTACTTGTTGCATGAGAAGAATCTTGATATGCTCTTGTTGTTCCATCATCATCATAAACATATCCACTTCCTTTCAATGATCCACCAATAAGAGTATATAAAAGAAGAGATTGTGGAATTTGTTGAGCTCGACCAATTCGTTCTCGGCCTGATCTTGGTTCTGGTAAAAGTGGAATAATAGAACCAGCTTGTGCATAGACTGGCATTTCATCAAGAGTAAAAGAGTTTGTCGTAGAAGAAGAAGAAGAAGAAAGATCACCAGTAAAGAAGTTTACCCATTGAGAATCAGGTGGAAACCAAATAGGCCAATTTTCTACAAGACCTGTCTTTGTATCAATTGGTTGACTAATTGGTGAAACAAAAATATTTGAACCAAAAAAATATTGATTTGAATATGAATAAGCTTCATCATGTTCTGGATAAAGATAATAAAGAGGTAAAACAACTGAAAGACCAGAATCATAAGTATGTCTTGCAGCTGTATAAATATATGGTATAAGTGTTTGACGAAGTCGAGTAAATTGAGCTAAATTATTTTGATAGATCCAAGGAAATGTCCAAATTCGTCGATCATTATTTGAATTTTTTGTACAATGTGTTCTAAACATAGGTGAAAATGCTCCCCATTGAATCCATCGAGTATATAATTCAGGATCTGGTTCTTCCGTATGTCCACCAAGATCATGACTCCAAAATCCATAGCCAACATTAGCTGCAGTAGCAGTAAATCGTGGTTGAAATGAAAGTGTATCCCATGATGGTACTACATCACCAGAAAAGCCCACTTGATAACGATGATTACCAAGACCACCCCAACGATGTAGAAGAGCCGGACGATTATTTCCAAAATAAGGATCGGTAAAAAAGACATGATTTAACCAAAATGTTGGATTCGCATATGGAATATCATTCATCCAACCTTCTTCACCTTGTTGCCAATCTAACCACCATAAATCAATACCAGCTTCTTGAAATGCATGAAGAACAATATTAAGCCAGGATGATGTATAATTTCTATCGGTGACATTAAATGGCACATAGTGACCTGTTGTAGGATCAATTCCCATAGCTTCAGCCATATCTTTATACTTTTCTTCCCATGGTTGAATACCTATATGAAGAAATATGTTATTAAACTGATAGCAGAATATAATTTTAATTTACCTGATGCTGGATGAAGATTCAAAGTATTTCTTAAACCCAATTGTTTGCACCATTGAAGAAATTTTTGATGATTTGGAAAAAGATGTTCATCAAATGTAAATCCTGTCCAACCAATACTTTGTCCTGCTTGATCTCTTGTACCATTTGAAAGTAATTTATAAAATGTGATATGCCAATCCATATCTGTAACAAGAACATCTAATGGAACATCATGTTGAATATATTCAGTAATAATTTGTCTTTCTTCATATTCAGCATAAGCCCAATAACGACTAAAAAATACTCCGAAGATATAACGAGGTGGAAGTGGAATTGATCCAGCAAGACGTGTAAATTCAAATAAAGCTTGTGAATAAGATCGACCATGTCCAAATAAATACAAATCTTGTTGAGCTTGTGATGAATAAAAACATGATGATGGTGCTTGAAAACAACATCCACGAAGTTCACATTCATGTTGATCTGTATTATTTGATGGTCCACAATTTCGACGTTCTCCAACTGTTACTGCTTGACAAAGTGTAGGATCAGGTATTGGATATCGTTTGTTAATAATCCATGGCCATTGAGTATCATTATCAAGTTGTGGTTGATGTGTATCATCGACAAGAGCATAACCACGACGAGAAATAACACCATAAGTACAATGAAGATCATCGCGTGATTGTTTCCGACAATCTAATTCGAGTTTTGAATCATGATTTCCATCTAATGTACGTAACGTACCTAAAAGATTTCCATCATATTCTTCTCCTGGTATGGCATTCCAAATAACTGTTTCTCCTTTATCAATATTAACACGAATAGTAATACGTATATTATGTTGACTGAATGTTGTTGTAGCATTTCGTAAATATTCTAATGTAATAAAATCAGTATCAATTCGTAAATGAGTATCATTTCGTGTAACATTAAATAATGGTGGTGTTGGTTGAATTTGACGTGATTGTACAAGCCATGTTTTGCCATCAACAAATTGTTTCATTGGTGACCATTCCATACGAATGAGACGTGTTGATAAGATGGTAAATCGAGCTTGACCTTCATAAACTATCGTTGAAGGATTAGACAATAAGGTATCACCGATGGCTGTCGTCGCCAATAGAGTCGCACAGAAGACGAACCACACCACCATTGTTATGAAAGGATAGTTTTACCTCGAAATGATTCTTCACAAGTAATATGCAATTGTTCTTATCAGAGTCCAAGAGTACTAGATAAAACAATATTTACAAGACCACATGTTTTCTTCTAATATGCTTTTATACTGAAAAAAAAAAGAAAAGTTATCAATCTTTACTCATAATAAAGTATACAGGTATTCAGTTAAAAGTATGATTACGAGCCCGTTTTCTTTTAATAAAAAAAAAACCATTTTATGATGTGCAACAAAAAGAAAGTAGTTTATCAGTATCAAGATTCTACAGGATCGAACTAGAACTCTACATGGAATCAACTATGTCTTTCGCTAAAATTCAGTTTTAACAAAATGAACTTTGTTTTTGAATAGTAGATTTTGTTTTCCTACATTTACTGTACAAAATGATGCATTTTGGAGATTCCAACGGCATCTTATTAAGGTCTATGGGAGTGAAAGAAAGTTGGAATTAAATTTGGCTTCTACTTTGTTTCATGCTTGAACGCTTCTATAAGACATTGTTGAAACCTCCAAAATGCATCAATTTGTACAGCAAATATTAGAGAACAAAACTTAAAGTGTCGGCAATTCAAACTTCAAGTAAAATTTTTTTTTCACGGTTTTTTACATCATTTGATAGAGCATGATCTGCTGATGACGAAAATCTACTTTTTAGTCTCAGTAAATGCTTTCTTCCAGTCAGAAAATACGAAATACTCGAACAGTGTCGTTTTTCGAGCAAAACACGTAGTTTTCAAAATGTGCAAAATTTTTCACTTTATGCCTTCTTTCAGCTTCTGAAAATAATTTTTCCACATTCACCATAAAAAACTGAGTATAAAAAATTTGTTACATCGACTTCAGACCCAAAACTCTATTGGTGGTGGCGTTTCGAATCACGTCGAGTCCATTAGGTAT